CTGGTGATTCTTCCAAATACTAACAGATTGGTATTGTGTCTATACTTAATCTGAACACTGGCTAACAACTTTGTTCAAACCTTAAGACATTTTAACGTTAGGCTTTAGGTAATTGTAACACATCTGTATTCGAACAATCTATTCGGTGTAGGGCATTGACATGTTTCTATTTGTTCGTGTACCCCTCGCGTCTCTTTGGCGTGCCAGAAACCAATGATCGTGGTTACGAATCCTTGTTCGCCCAGAATTGTCGGCACCCAACCCGGGCATGGTATCGTCTAAGACCTGATTTACTTCACGCTGTGATATAACTAAAATACTGATCAATGCGGCGTTAAACCCAACTAATATTGTCCCGAGACAGTGCGACTTGGGGCCGAGTCTGTGCAGAAAACAATGGCAGAGTGATAATTTCTGTACAAATAAGTCTTTGAATGTAGAAACAGCAAATAAGTAGTATTTTCGTTTTGACAGATACATCTGACGCTGCACCTAAAAGAGGTGACTGCTGTTTTCTTTTTTCTTTGAGACAATTTCTGTCACTAAGATCAGGAAAGCGTTTCCATTGAACAATGACCTCATTTCTAGCACAGTAATAGGGACAACTAACCTCATCAATGGTGTTCCAATCAATAACACCGTCTTGGGTTGTTGAAAGGAAAGAGAGTTCAGAATCAACAAACGTTCCACTCGTATCAACGTGCAGATTGCAGGCTGTCTCAAAATCGGAAGTAGCTTGGGGTTCCTGCTGTAAATAAAAGCGACAAACTCAATTCCTTACAGAGACAACATGTTTACATAATCTAGTTTGGTTTCTCCTTGTTTTACATTTGCAAATTGCCCCAAACTGAGATGCTGTCAACCTCCATCTCGTATCTCCATGCCAACAGCTACGCGTGGCCTGCTTTCTTGTCCCGATCTCCATAGCACGTTCATGTGATAAACAGAATTACATTTCACTATATCATACAAAAATCTATGAATACAATTTGTGAAACTCCTTTCCAAATGGTAAAACGCATTCCAATCAGACAACATGAATAATTTAGTTTAACCATGTATCTAGCTAAAAGGGACCAGAAAAAAATCCATTTACACGAGATTTAGCTCAACCATCGACTACTACACTGCAACGTCGGATGATATTGTCATCAGATACCTGTCATCCGCACTAAACATGGCAACCAGATAATGAATAATATTTGACATTTGTGGGAGAAATAAGAGATAATGAATATTTTATTCATGTATGGGAGGCCACAGTTATATACGTGAGGTGAGGTGGGGTGAGGTGACATTGGGTTTAACGTCGCGTCCAAGATCATTGCACTTGTATAGCGACCAGCATGCACGTGTGTGTTGGTGTGTGTGGCTGCTTGTACTAGTCCGGACTGATGCCGATTTATAGTGCTAGCTCACTGAGATACCATGCCGCAGTTTAACATGGAAACCCTACTCAAACACAGTATACTGACTCCGAACCGACCAGTCCTTGTTTGAGCCCCTTAATGTCGAGCGCCAGACAGGGTAAAAACAAGTACCATCTTTTAACGTCTTTTGGTATGACGCGGCCGGGGTTCGAACCCCGGATCTTCCGCTCTCCGGGCGGAAGCTCTACCTCTAGACCACGGAGGCGGTTCAGTTATATACAATAACACACAATTGAAAACAATACTTAGGTATAATAGTAGGTCTTTGTACATGGTAATAGAGCTTCCTTCACATACTTAGTTATATTTCCGAGTATACAGTAAGGATAAGACATGGATGAACAGCTTCTTTATTACAATTAGGTTCCAACACAGTTATAAAGCAAGTGATGTACAGAGTATGGTTGACAAGCATACATACATGTATGAGGCGGTGTTTATGTATTTGATGTATAATACCTGAAAATTTTAGGGATTATGTGTATTCCCTGAGTGAATCAGACATTAAATATATTCCCTGAAAATTTCAGGGATTATACATATTCCCTGATTATACATATTCCCTGTAACATATACATGTATGAGGCGGTGTTTATGTATTTGAGTAGGAGGTAGTTATACTGGCGTAGAGAAGCCTGTTATGTACACAAAAGGGAGATGACGCAAGGTGACATCAGCAGGGGAAGCGAGTGGTATATATATAAACAAAGGGATTATGACTGATTGCTGTCTTTGATAAGATGAGTGAGTGAGTGAGTTGGGTTTAACGCCGCTTTTAACAGTATTCCAGTTATATCACGGCGTGTCAGCTTAATGTGGGAGGAAAGCCCCAAGTGATGCAGGTCTCCGACGTTTACCACTTCGGTGAAACCCACGAGCACGGGTATGTTGCTGGAAAACCTAGAAACATAATCGGGGCGAACTGGGATTCGAACCCACAATCATAGGATTCTGGCGTGCCCAAGGGACGCAACTCTGCACAGCGAATCGCGGCGCCTTAGACGACTGGGCCACCCGTGCCCCCTTGATAAGATGATACGCAGGGGGTATGTTAGCAGATGTTGATGGCCTCTTGGAGTTTTCTTAGTTTGAATTCTAATACCTTCACAGAAGATGAAGAAATAATATTGTCGACATGTTTCTTGCTATTATTGACCAAGTCATTTATACAACCTTTCTCTTGCTCCAATATATTTTGTCTAGACAATTCTCTTATTTCCTGAGATTCTGAAGAAATTGAGTTCAATAAACTTTTGTCTTTTTAATTTCACACACTCTTAATCGTACCACTCCTTACTATTCTTAGTCCGACAATCATTACTATACAACTTCTTTGAAAGGCATCAAGACAGATGTGAAATATATCACATAAAGTTTCTACAGCAGACTCGATATCAGGTGGAACTGGCTTGTCACTGCCTAATACATAAGATGATAACATATCAGCTACAGAGTGACGAAAAGAGTCAATTAAGGAGTCGTTCCGAACGTATCTTGGTATATCTGATGACGTATTATTATGTTCGTTTTTCGCCCCGTTATCCTTTGTACGATGGTCTGAATTTATTTGTAATGAAATAAAGATTTATGATAAAGATTTACTAATTGAAATTCAACATAAAATCTTACTATATCCTTACATTAGCTTTTCAATCAACAAATTTAGTCACATAATTCAGTGACTTGTGAGAACAGATAAAACTGAGGATTGAAGATTTCTTCATCTACAATTACAGAAAACATGACTGTTACATGCCTATGGCCACCCAGTATAATGTAAAGGGCTTGTCCAGATAGTCATGATAGTCAGATATCTGATCGTGATATCCATAGACGCTGAGGAGTAGTAGTTGATGGTGATTTTTCACACATGGCCCCTGTAAGAAGCAATATTCGTGTATTTGTCAGGTCTTGGGTCTTTGGTATTGTCGCTTTGACCCACACTTGAATGAGTCTGCTTTCTTGGGTAAATCTGTTAAAAGCAAAACAAGAGGAATAACTACTCTCCACCTCAGTTTCACAAGTCAGGAGACACGAGTGAAACCAGCTCATCTGTGTCACATTTAGTTCAATGTGATTCAAAGTGATAAAACTTAATCACGAGGCTGTATGAGAAGGTGGAAGCTTTCCAGTGCCTAACTTTCCCTGACAGAGTGTATCGTCAACTACTTCAACAATGCCACTGATGAATATTGCGAAAAGAGTCATGCTTTATATATGAATATATGAATATAATACAGTCATGTTAAGAAGCATATACTGGTATAGTATTATGACTCTACGGAATAACTATTGCTTTATTTGGACACCGCTAGATACAAGACCATGCAAGTCATTTTTGCTCAAAGTCATATTGATAAAAATGAGACCTTTGGAATGTTTCTTATTTAATAATTAGGTTAAGGTATGTGTTGTGTAGTTTTTCATTAATGACTTATCTTAACCTTAGGATTTGTTCCACACACCCTTGGGATAAACAAGAGTGAAATGAAACTAAATGTTTGGCAATTTGTCATATAAAATCAGGCACGACCGAAATAGGTAGACCACAGCATCCTGTGACTATAACATGAGGAGAGCACTAAAGGGGAACTATTCTAAACATGATAGCACAAATGACTGCTAGGCTTTGAACAATGAACAAGTAAAGAGATGGTTTACTTTTGCGCTGGTTAAGTATCGATGTGCTGACGTTGAAAGAGTGTTGAGAAAGTGGTGTGCACATTTTCACGAGTTTCACCAATAATTTTAATAATTATTTTGATTGTTCATGCGTCGTTGTACTTTCGAATTAGTGTAGGATATTAATCGATTTGAAAGGAATAAATAGATTCCTGGCAACATTATCAAGTATCAAAAACATGGTAAACTTCATGGCCGCCCATTCAAAGCTGCATCGGTTTACATAGCACCCTAACATTAAACAGTGGGGATAGATTAATACTTATCATTTGATATGGTCAAACGATCTGTCAACACAGCTGTAGAATTTATCAATGCCGGACTATTACAAGAGTTATTAAGAAAACTCGAAAACCAACGAACAATATGTTTTCAGATACGATGCAGTTTGTAGCATCCATTTCATCATATATCAAATCTTCACAAAACTACCTATTTTAATACAGCGGGGACCAATATCTTCCACCAGGACCTCAATGTTCAATATTAGTTTGGGAATTGTCAACTAACCATCCCACGTCAATGCATATGTTCATTTTTTACCCACCAGAACCCCCATCCTCTCTTGAAAGTATCAATACACACCGTTTGGTTAAATGAGATTTTCAAAAAAATATTTCACACCTATGTTATTGGCTCTGATCATCAATGCATGATACTGACCAATGCGTTTTGCATGCACTGTACACAGAATTTGATTACCTTCTAATTAACATACAATATGGTATATCTGTTAACAAAATTGATACTAGGGATATACGATTGCCATTTATGGCAGGATTTAAGTATGTATCAATATGATCATGTCCTCGAACGAGTCAATTAATTAATAAAGGACCATAAAATACAATGGTATATAGAATACGCTAAACTTCGTTCCAATCATAATCACGCCAATACACCTTCTTTACAGTAGAAGAAAAAGGTGGCACCTGAGACATGAGGATCGCACTAACACTGCTTGCTCTTGTGAGTATTATTGCATGCTATCTGCATTTTGTTGATGGAGAAGAGACAAACGAAGATGGACAGGTGGGACAGAGGGGTAATCTAGTCGAACGATTGCGAAGAGCCGCGTCTGTTAGAAGTGGCTCTGGGGAACCTTCAATGCGATTTAAAAGAGCAATGCCAGTTTTAGCAAGCAATCGACGAGGTCGCCGTCAAAGAAGTCGAGGGGGTAGAGGAGGAAGGCGAGGACGACTTCCAGGAAGGCGAGGGGGTAGACGAGGACGTCGCCCAGGAAGGCGAGGGGGCAGAGGAGGAAGGCGAGGACGCCGTCCAGGAAGGCGAGGAGGTAGACGAGGACGTCGTCCAGGAAGGCGAGGGGGCAGAGGAGGAAGGCGAGGACGCCGCCCAGGAAGGCTAGGGGGTAGACGAGGACGCCGACCAGGAAGGCGAGGGGGTAGAGGAGGAAGGCGAGGACTCAGACGGGGACGCCGACCATTAAGGAAAGGGAACGTAAGGCGAGGACAGGTAAGCATGTACAAACTAATTGCTCACTAATTACTAATTACTTACTACTAATCACTTTTTTTTTGCTAAACTAGTGCAATGAAGTTTGTTGTTTTAACAAGGCGGTCTTGTTGATTCAGTATTAGCATATTCACAATTCGAAAGCAAGTACTGTCCTCTCAATATTTCCAATGCCATTCACCAAACAGTCCAATGACGTTTTCTTTTTACATTTTACTTTCTCTCTACATATTGAATTGTTTCACTGTTTTGTTTCAGCAAACATGGACAGAAATATGTTATTTTAAAATATTAGTTGAGAAGTATCTGTAAAGACATAGGAATCTTCTAAACGAAATATCTATGCCAAAAACTTCACGTAAAACCAGCTTTTTTCTGAAGATTCTTATTACAATTAAGAAAAATACAATTGTTTTTGGCATTGACGTATTCGTTACTCACATTGTCATTATGGTAATACATCAAACTGATGAATATTTATAAGTACCTGCATACAAACAGTTAGTTAGGGATTAGAGATTGTAAAATACATTTAAAAAAGCAGTGTGAACGTAGCGTATGGTATATAGCCATGGTCACACATGTACCGACTCAGATACACAAACTATTGATATCAACGGGAACTTGCTTGAATGAGTATTACTGTAGCATAATCTTTCTTTTCACTGATTGGCACTACATTGTCACTTAATGTCTGCAACTGATCCAATAACCATAGTTTGCTAGTATAATATCTATTCGCTTCATAAATATGACAGAGAATAGAAGGTCTTTGGTTTAGACAGCCTAGAGACGTGTTAGCTGATTTCAGAATACAAGCAAACTAAAGTGTCCACCTCGACCAAGTCACGTTTCCAGATCGTTTTATTTTTAGCATTTTGCAAGTTTGGCGGCAATAGGGAGTATATCAATTTTCCCATCGCATCATAGGATACTCTGGTAATATAGAGTTCCGACACAACTTTATCGTATCAATTGCGATCTGAATAGCATCCAAACATGGCCTTGTTGATAGATACTGAGTTATACGTGATTGGCTATTAGTCATCTCCGTACCGAAATAGGCTTCCCAAAGTAAATTACCTGCAATTTTGATACTTGCGCTCTTGCAACTGAAAACGTGACGTACCCACTCGTCCATGTTTGTGATACATCTTCTTTCAAGTGAGGACACGTCCAGCTATTGACGTAGCACATACGTTCCCTTGCGAAACGCACATTAAGTCTTACTTAGCATACCTTAGCATAGAGACATACCTATAATGGCGTGGTTATATATGACGTTTTCAAGGTATACAAGTACTACTACCAGTACAAGTAATGAGGACTTGAAGTAAACACTGATAACATAGCTCCGCCGTGGGGCCTTTGGGGCAATATACTTTTCTTATTGTAAGTTGTTGACGTTTGGGGGAATAACAAACCAACCCCGGATAGAATAGAGCTCTGACACTATACAATACATGGACAATGTGTAAAAGTAGTATAGCTATGAATGACTATATTTCCGTATTTGATATTGGTATCTTCCTCCGGCACTCTTGCCACCGCTCAACGAAACTTTTAAAAATGATAACGTCAGTGCATTCTCAGATAGAAGAGACCCTGAAACTGCACTTTGTACTGACACTGTATATAAGTATTATAAACATGGCTGGCTACATTTGCCTTATCGATATGGAGGTATCTTCCTAGACACTCATTCTTACATGCCACCACTGTCTGACTGTCTTTCTTTCTGTCTGTCTGTCACTCTCTCTCTATCTATCTACCACACACACACACACACACTCACTCACTCACTCACTCACTCACTCACTCACTCACTCACTCACTCACTCACTCACTCACTCACTCACTCACTCATTCATTCATCAGACAACGTAACATGTTCAGTTGAATATTTACAATTGTAATATGGAAAATTTCTTTTGCAGGTGACGCCGCCCTAACCGTGATATAAAAATGAACTTGTGCATGTCAGTCATGAATAAAGGCAAATGTTAGTTTGTATTTGTTCTCGTTTTTGTTTATGTTCATTTTCACGCTTGTGTCCTGATTTGTTTAATACATGAATTAGGTACTAAAATTGTAAGATCCATTTATACAACCTCAGAGGTGGTGAGACAGCCAAGTCCTTGACATGTTCGATAGTTACACCGAACATCCGGGTTTTATTCCCACATGGGTATAATGTTTTAAGGCCATTTCTGCTGTACCCTGTCGTGATATTGCCAGAAGAGTATCTAAGGCAGGGAAACAACATACCCACTCGCTCACCCACAAAGCAGTTTATTGTATGCGTGCGCTTTACGGCAAAACACACAAGAGTTATCTTCCTCTGCTGTCGACTGTTAACAATGTGTTTAACTGACTCTATGGTTCCTTTTGCGTTTTTTATGCCCAATGTTACATGCAATATACAAATATACAGTAAAATATACAAATATACAGTATAATATCTATTCGCTTCATAAATATGACAGAGAATAGAAGGTCTTTGGTTTAGACAGCCTAGAGACGTGTTAGCTGATTTCAGAATACAAGCAAACTAAAGTGTCCACCTCGACCAAGTCACGTTTCCAGATCGTTTTATTTTTAGCATTTTGCAAGTTTGGCGGCAATAGGGAGTATATCAATTTTCCCATCGCATCATAGGATACTCTGGTAATATAGAGTTCCGACACAACTTTATCGTATCAATTGCGATCTGAATAGCATCCAAACATGGCCTTGTTGATAGATACTGAGTTATACGTGATTGGCTATTAGTCATCTCCGTACCGAAATAGGCTTCCCAAAGTAAATTACCTGCAATTTTGATACTTGCGCTCTTGCAACTGAAAACGTGACGTACCCACTCGTCCATGTTTGTGATACATCTTCTTTCAAGTGAGGACACGTCCAGCTATTGACGTAGCACATACGTTCCCTTGCGAAACGCACATTAAGTCTTACTTAGCATACCTTAGCATAGAGACATACCTATAATGGCGTGGTTATATATGACGTTTTCAAGGTATACAAGTACTACTACCAGTACAAGTAATGAGGACTTGAAGTAAACACTGATAACATAGCTCCGCCGTGGGGCCTTTGGGGCAATATACTTTTCTTATTGTAAGTTGTTGACGTTTGGGGGAATAACAAACCAACCCCGGATAGAATAGAGCTCTGACACTATACAATACATGGACAATGTGTAAAAGTAGTATAGCTATGAATGACTATATTTCCGTATTTGATATTGGTATCTTCCTCCGGCACTCTTGCCACCGCTCAACGAAACTTTTAAAAATGATAACGTCAGTGCATTCTCAGATAGAAGAGACCCTGAAACTGCACTTTGTACTGACACTGTATATAAGTATTATAAACATGGCTGGCTACATTTGCCTTATCGATATGGAGGTATCTTCCTAGACACTCATTCTTACATGCCACCACTGTCTGACTGTCTTTCTTTCTGTCTGTCTGTCACTCTCTCTCTATCTATCTACCACACACACACACACACACTCACTCACTCACTCACTCACTCACTCACTCACTCACTCACTCACTCACTCACTCATTCATTCATCAGACAACGTAACATGTTCAGTTGAATATTTACAATTGTAATATGGAAAATTTCTTTTGCAGGTGACGCCGCCCTAACCGTGATATAAAAATGAACTTGTGCATGTCAGTCATGAATAAAGGCAAATGTTAGTTTGTATTTGTTCTCGTTTTTGTTTATGTTCATTTTCACGCTTGTGTCCTGATTTGTTTAATACATGAATTAGGTACTAAAATTGTAAGATCCATTTATACAACCTCAGAGGTGGTGAGACAGCCAAGTCCTTGACATGTTCGATAGTTACACCGAACATCCGGGTTTTATTCCCACATGGGTATAATGTTTTAAGGCCATTTCTGCTGTACCCTGTCGTGATATTGCCAGAAGAGTATCTAAGGCAGGGAAACAACATACCCACTCGCTCACCCACAAAGCAGTTTATTGTATGCGTGCGCTTTACGGCAAAACACACAAGAGTTATCTTCCTCTGCTGTCGACTGTTAACAATGTGTTTAACTGACTCTATGGTTCCTTTTGCGTTTTTTATGCCCAATGTTACATGCAATATACAAATATACAGTAAACTACGGTTATAACGAACTCAAAGGGACCACTAATTTTAGTTCGTAATAACCGTAGTTCGTTATAAGCATATATACAGCATATTTACATCAAATGGGCGGGACTAAAAAATACGTTCGTTATATCCGTCAGTTCGTTATAAGCGTGTTCGTTATAAACGTTGTTTACTGTATATAATATGCTTCTGCCGATACCTCAACCCCCGGTTAATGATATTATTACCTATTTGCATTGACTGAAGCACTGAAATGCGTATACCACAACGTATATTTAAGAACTTATGTTGATATTATGTTGGCTCACTGGAACATGAACGCTTTGAACCCTGAAAATTAAAATCTCGTAAACGCCGGAGCTTGCCAACACAACATGAAAATCATTTTTTATAAATTCGTATTTTGAAGTTAAAAGGGTGCTAATTTTACTATGACGCACAATTTAGGCGATTTACGTGACGTTATTCGGGATAACACTTTGTTACTAAAGTACAGATTCTAGTACTTTTTTGGGCTGAGTCCCATCGAAGTGTTATCCCAGATATACCATTTGTTATATAACGTTAGTTGTGACATCAAAAATTATCAAAAAAAGTATCTTCAAACTGCGAAACGTGCAATAAGCAATAAGCTTATACTGTTTAGTTTCCTAAGTCTCTTTAGCTGTGAGTGAGTGAGTGTGTATGGTTTATGCCACCTTTTGCAGTATTCCAACAATATTGTGATGGCCATCACGACGAAAATATATAAATAATAATGTATCTTAATTATAAAATGTGTAAGTCAAAAATATTTCCTAAATATTTCTCTGTTGTATTTTTGATGGTTATATGACAGTGCACAAATTATTTCATAATTATCCTGTAAACTGTAATTAGTTTTGCGGGTATATATCAATGTATTTTTGCCAACCTCGTTTTCACGTTATTCAATGTTTTGAATCCCGTTTTGGTCAGAAATCTATCAGAGGATCATAGTATGCTGTTATAGAGCTTCATAGCACACTGTTATCTCGTAAAAATAATCATATGTCCATGCTATCATGTTACGCATATTGTTTAGGACATGTCAACAACGTGCCTGTCAAAACGATCGTGTTTACTTTTTCAAGAGTTTTTGCATTGACCGTAACTTTTGAAGAATTCCTCGTTCTAAGCACACAATTACGCAAATTAACCATCAGGTACAGATTAATCATACCTTCGTTCTTCAACAAAGATATCACAATCCCTTGGCAGCTCGATATTTATCAATATTTGTGTGAATTTGTGATCAGAGCTGAACTACGTGTTTCGCCCACGCCTGCTATTTTAACTTTGTGACAGCTAGCTTAGGTCGCAATGAAGTTACTGAATTTGGCTAAAGCTTAGCATTTTGCATTATGAAGTTTATTTAATCTAATGAACTATGTCCAGGGGAACCCAGAATCATATTTGATGATATTTCAAGACGTGTATTAAAGTAACTGTTAATTCTGACATTAGGAACTATGTAATCTTCGCTGATGTATTCATGTGCAATATTTAGCGTGACTATTTAAGAACATTTCTCATAAATATGACATCCTGTGCTTCTGTCAAAGCATGCCAGTGGCCAATTCATGTTATTAAACGTCTTATGTATCAGAAAAATTCCAATTGCCTCCTGACATTTGAACTTTTCCTCTTCCTCTTCCTCTTCCTCAATCGTAATTCCCAGTCGATGTTGCTTGTTATTACGTCCTCTTGGCAGGCAGCAAGGACGTAGCCTCGACGTAGCAGGAAGTAATTGTTTATCTTGTGATATTGAAAGGCAATTAGTGAATCAATTAGACATAATTAATTGATTGGTATAAATACTCATTTTCATACCAAATCACCTCCTGAGATGGTTTGTCTTCCTCTTTATTTCAGTGATTTCACGTTGTGAAAGTAGATCCCTCAAAGGAATAAGGACTTAAAGAGACGTAATTTCTCGTAATCTGATTGGTCAAAAACAGACATGTGACCATTTTCGCACACCTATAAATACGATGAGATCCATACTGGGTCATTCCGACTTTGGTCAGTTTCAATCAAAGGGCAGATAATTCAGCCCAAAAGTTCCCCTTGTCCTTACGTAATCATTTCTATAAATAGACTGCATTTTGAAAACAGACACAAATTGCTATCTTAGTAACTGTACAGTTATTCAGATAAAGAAGCCATCTATATGTATATACATCAGTAAACTACCATTATAGTTACAGGCAATAACTATTTTGCCCAGACACTGGACCTTACAAATAAACCTTAAAAATCAGAGGGATCTATTTATTTGGAAGCATTGTGTTTTCCATATAAGGCATTGTTATACCCACATGAATAAAAACTAATTATTCGTTGAAAAGAAGTGTTTTGACTCTCAGTTACATCCAGACATCAAGGTTTATCAGAAGTTCGGGTCCGGGCCGCTACAGTATCATGGCGGGGGACACCAGAAAGGGGCTTAACACATTGTGTCCATGTAGGGATATCGACTCTTATTGGCCGTCTGTCTGATTGTGATACCCCGTACAAAACATGTAAAAACGTGTTTAATTGTACAAGTTCATGTGTGATATCACAATGACACTAAGCATATGATACACACAAAGATCCATAGTTGATATCTAGTTTAGTTTAAGTAACATGGAAAATAATATGTGTATCATGCAAATGCGTATACAGTGATCAGCTTGGTGGGAGTAATGCCTTAAATATGTTTATCAACGTTAACTGTGTGGTCGCACTGATAAGGATGTCTCTCCCATGTGTGATTTACTTTACTACATATATCAACTGTCATAAAAACACAGCAGTATTTAGCGACTAACTGTATGCACGTATATATACATACTGATTTGAAAAAGAACGTAAGTTGATCATAAATTTAATATTCATGTCACATAATTTTAAGGGCAAAAAAATCTTTCAAGTATATTTTACAACTGGTGTTTATCTATCAAACATTCATGCGACTGGAATACCAAGGCTGGTCTATGAAACACTACTACTTTATCGGGCCTGTCAATTATTCAGTACCGTATTTGATCTTTATTTTAACTGCATGCAAATAACATAAAGCGACCAAACGGTCGATTTTGTTTTAAATGTATCCGTTACGTTAGTTCATTGTTCAAGTACCGCCTCCGTGGTCTAGAGGTAGAGCGTCCGCCCGGAGAGTGGAAGGTCCGGGGTTTGATCCCCGGCCGCGTCATACCAAAAGACGTTAAAAGATGGTACTTGTTGTTACCCTGTCTGGCGCTAGGCATTAAGGGGCTAAAACAAGGACTGGTCGGCTCGGAGTCAGTATATTGTGTCTGAGTGGGATATTCATGTTAAACTGCGGCATGGTATGTCAGTGAGCTGGTCCGGACTGATGCCGATTTATAGTGCTACTATAAATCGGCATCAGTCCGGACTAGTACAAGCAGCCACACACACACACACACACGTGCATGCACGTCGCTATATAAATGCAATAATCTTGGACGCGACGTTAAACCCAATTTCACCTCACATCATTTTTCAAGTAGCATAGCAAAGTTAGAAGTCTTTAAAGCAAGTTTAATAAAATGGCAAAGTTACAAGTAAAAGTGACTTGCCTTCAAAAACAAACAGAGAGGATCTCAGGCAAAGCAGGAGTAACCCAGTTGTTGATGTTTTTGTTGTTGTTGCTTTAAGTGTTTACGAGGTCGCCTTCTGACCTCTTCGATTTCTAATTTGCCCCTTTGTTGACTGAAGGGAGTAGGCTGTATCTCCGCTTTGTCTATAGCTAGCTTCGCCAGTGTGTCTACGTTTTTATTTTCCATGAATATCTAAGTAAGACGGCATACAACAAGGCTCCACCTGTTGTCCATGGTCCGGTAGTTTTGTATATTGGAATAGAATATTATTAACTGTTGTTGGTCTCGAGTTTAAGTTCTGCCGCTGATAGCTCAGTAGCGAGCTACCCCTGTATTAATTTTGAATCGAAAGAAAGTAGTTTTTATGGCCTCCCTAAAGTTCATAAGAGCGCACAGATCCTAGAAAAATGTCGAACTTTGAATTCTGCTTATGTCAAAATAGCCCCCGTAAATGCTTTAAAATTACTGCCAATAATTGCGGGACCCAAATGTCCCACACACAGAATCAGTGACCTTATAGATAAAGTGTTTAAACCAATACTAAACATGTCAAGAGCTACATAAAAGATACCACTGATTTTCTGAACCAACTTCCCGCCTCAGTCGAAAATGGTACAAAGTTGGTCAGTTTTGATGTAGTTAGTTTATATTCAAACATTCCCCATCATCTCGGCATAGAAGCTATTGAATACTGGATAAATAAACACCGTTCGGAAATCCGAGAAGACATTACCTCCGAATTCATTATCGATAGTATTAAATTTATTCTAAATAATAATACTTTTAATTTTGATGGTTCTCATTACAAACACATTAAAGGCACAGCAATTGGGACAAAAAAGGCCCCTACTTATGCAACCCTTGTACTTGGTTATTTGGAGGAAAAACTGTACTCAAAAATTGAAGAAAGATACGGCATTGAATTTGGACAGGCATTTCAAGATAAATGGAAAAGATTTTTAAATGATTGTTTTGTTCTATGGAATCGGAATGAAAACGATCTACAGTGTTTGATATATATTTTACAGACATCCCATCCAAGTTTAATCTTTACTTTAGAGATGAGCGATAACAATCTATCGTTTCTAGATGTAATGGTAACAATTTCAAACAATAACATTGAAACAGATGTATATTACAAACCAACCGATTCGAAGCAATACCTCAATTACAATTCCTGTCACCCCCGTCATACTAAAAACAGTGTTCCTTACTCATTAGCACGTATCTAATTCAGATCGTGCACAATATAGACTCGATGAACTGAGGGAGTCACTATTAGAAAGAAACTACCCTAGAGAAATAGTGGAAGACGCAATAAACAAGGCGAAATGACAAAACCGTTGTGATCTTTTAAAACCTAAAGATAAACCTAACGAGAGTGTTCTCTCTTTTGTTACAACCTTTAATCCCCCAAACCCGGAAATATTTGGAAGTGTTCGGGAAACACTGTATCCCTTAAATAAGTGTAAAGAACTAAAACAAAAAATACCACAAAATAAACTTATTAAAAGTAAAAGACAGAGCCAAAATCTGAAACAGATTCTTACTAGGGCTTCTTTCTCAAATGGAAAACAAGAATGTAAAACAGTACAAAAGTGTAACAGGCCAAATTGTGGAACTTGCCCTCATGTTTTACAATGTTGTTCTTTTACATTCAAAGACGGAAATACTTTCTATGTCCGTGAGAATATGAATTGTGCTTCAAAAAACTTGATTTATGTCCTACAATGTGCTGGATGCAAGGCCGAATACATTGGACAGACAGGGGACACCCTAAGAGCGAGAGTGAGGGTCCACCGACAAACAAATAAGGGACCCCTCTTGTCGGTGTATCCCACTCAGTCAACACATTGATCAGTGTGCCGGGAATAAAACACCAAATTTTGTGATATTTCCGTTTTACAAATGTGACAATGATGCATTGAGAAAGATAAAAGAAAGTTAATTTATTAATACTTTCAAACCAAAATTAAATGGCCTGAAATAATTGAATTAGTTTATACAATTACAATGTAATGTACATTTTACTGCCACTACAATACTTATTTCTGTATGTGTCGTACGCCTGCCCTATCGTCTTACGCCTGTCTTATTGTGACGTCACAAAGTTAGATTGCACTATGACGTCATACTATGTTAGAGTGCACTGTGACGTCAAAACAGCGTAACGGTATAACTGTACTCTTGAAAATCACATGCGTGAAACCGGTTGAGTAAATTATACAGCTCATCTTTGGACTTTTGTATTTTATCTATATATATATATATATTTAGCACATACATTACCTATATAAAATCTCTCGGCGCTTAATTAAAAAAGCATGGCAAGTTTTGGCAACGCAAAAGAAAAGATCTGGGTTTGCTAAAACACTAGTAAATCTTTCTGGAGCTGGTCAGCCAGGTGCGCCGGGTGCTGAATGGCAATAGCCCTACACCCATAAGTGTCCTGCGTGTTGATCACTAAGAACAGTGACCTAACATTTAATGCCTCAAACTCGATTGACTGGTTTCCACAACTTGCATCCCAGGGCGCTACATACTATTATGCAAGTCCTGAAACCTATGTCGAGTTTACTGGCATGGGAAATATGAAGTTGTAGAATATATTTGAAGTTGTTAGAAACTCGAAGAAAAATATAATAATTTTGACAACATTATACAAATATGACGAAGATTCAAGACATTAATTTTGTGTCTTGCTGACATAACCTTCAAAGTAGACCGTCCTTTGTATTCCGAAAAATATGTCTCTCAAGGGGTCCTATTAGATTATTTACATTTAACATTTCCCGATGGCATTCCGCTTGAACGCTACATGACATCTACAAAATCAATCTCTTATGACATTGTAAATGCAAAGGATCTACGGTGGCTTTTCATGCCAAACGTCGGAGATGAATGACTTTGTTGACGTCAGATTTGTTTATGTACTCAATCATGCATATCAGATCCAATAAATCTCCACGCGACACCAAATCCTTTCGTATATAAGACAAGTACATCACCATTCATTTCATTTTTATATCGACAACCACGTCGATAAGTCTCCTTACCGTGTAATAGTTGGCTTGCAAAGGTAGACATGAGGATCACGCTTGTTCTGCTGGTTGCCTTAAGTTGTCTTGCATGCGTGCATTCGTTTGGAAGAGGTGGGAGACGAAGGAACAGTTCAAATAGCTTAACACCCAAAGACTCCCCAGGGCGTGGTAGACCTGCAATACGTAGCTCTAGAAGGGCACCTGTAGGGAGTGGTAGCCGATTGGGTGGGTCTGCACTTCCGTCGGGTGGACGAGGATTTGGAGCAGAGGGACAAAGACAGGGTGGACGAGGACTTGGAGCAAGGGGACAAAGTCCGGGTGGAGGACGACCTACAGGAAGAGGACAAAGATTTGGTGGACGAGGACGTTCATCATGGGGACGACGACCTGCAAGGCGAGGACCCACAATAGGGCGGCGCCAGCCACTTGGGCGAGGAGGCCCCATCAGAAATCCATTTATGGCTGCTGTAAGTTTTTTCGATACAATATTTTCATAGGCTCTTCCTTACTTGACACTGTACTTTATTCGTTGAAACCGTGTCTGTTGTGTATGGTCTATGATCTCCTCCCATTTGTTTTCTTTCGTACACATAAGATCAAAGACCTTGAGTTCTCATATAACTGAAATAGTGTTATCTGTTACACTCACTAACTCACTCATCAATTGATTTTATGCGTGTTATGCATACCAGTTCTACAAGAGATCTTAAGGTTTATTACCTTATATGTGCTACACTAGCCCAAATGGGGGAGGCGAGGGTGTAGCCTAGTGGTTACAATGGGTGAAGCCCATTTCTGGTGTCTCCAGCCGTGATAGTGCTGAAATATTGCTAACACTGGCGTAAAACCATACTCACTCACTCACACCGAAGACAAAAATGAAATACATATCTATCATGTGGTAACCATTTAGAATGAAAACATTTAATTCAATTACGATTTCATAACGTTGATGATTGCAATGATCAGTTTCCTTAAACACTGTTCCAGCTCGGAATGGGCGCCGAGCGTCGACAATGGCTACGTATGGTGGACGCAAATATCACCATCAAGGAGTCAGCTAAGTTCAACAGGACCACGGAATTCATTATTCTGTCATCATTTGACAGAAGGCTAATGAATTCTAATATTTCATCCGCATTTTCAGCTTATGACTTTCAAAACGTAATTATTTTCATTTATTCTTTTATTGATGAGAGACTTGAGTAGCATTCAGAAGTTGGTGTGATAACACTTTGATTTTCACTGAAGTGTCACCTCAGTTGTAATAAAAACAAGTTGTTTATTCATTAACTCGGATACATTAACTACTAAATGACTAATATTTTGTGTGTGTAAAAGCAAGGCGATAACATGATCGATTCATTTCATACTGGTCTTGAATTTTGAACAAAATGTAACAACCACTATACAAAGCTTTGCTCCATTTTAATTACTGGCACTCCAGAAGAAGTACTCGAGCCCCAAACGTTACAGATGTTGATCTTCATTACAGGGAGTGGCTGCAGCTCTACTCAGGATAAACAACACCAAAGTCTGTCTGGTGTTCCCCATTTCAGACTTCAACGCAGCGGTCAACTCAATCAGTGGCAGAAATGTAAGTGTTTATCTTTGAAATGCTGACACCAACACCATGACATCTTCAGCTTCATAAAATGGAAATACACCTGTAAGGTACTGGCTAATGACACGGTTGAAGCAGCGCCTACTTAAGTAAATATGAATAAAAATAAGACCTCAATGACAGATAATAACCAGTCTCAATTATTCAACGAACCAGATTTCGGACGTAGAAGGTAAAAGCGCGGTGAAAATTATGAGTACAATGTTTGAAAAAAGGAAGTTTTCGTTTGGTTCGGAGGTTAATCGAAAATTACGTTTTGGTATATTTAACATTCCTGGTTCAGAGCTGAAATTTGATTATCAAAAAGTATATCTTATCGTTCCTACGTGTTCTTACAAGATTCACTGTTTCATATGTTGTAAATGTCCACTGACGGGATTATTTTATTTTTTGAAGGTGTCTCAGCTCGTAACAACACCAGATAATGATGAAGAATATATAATGAAGACAGATGATAAGATGACAGATGCTGAGCTGGTAGCTTTCAATTCGACCTCACCTGCCCTGTACCAGATCTGCCAGGGACGACGCACTACACCAGCTATTATCATCGACGCCACGACAACAGTACAAATTGGTGAGAAATGAATGGATTTTTCCGCTAACATTATACATATGGCGCTTTGCTGCTTTCATTCTTCTGGCACCTTGAACACAATAGACATCGAACAGTCTTGTTCTTGTTCGGGGCGCGTACCAGTTATTCTAAACATACATGCCTTTTAAGACCATGTACCTTTTCTGCTACGGAAATTATCTTTTCGGCCGAAATAAAAAGGACGTGCCCAAGACTAATGAAACTACCAAAATCCCCCCAAAAAGTGATAACATTCACACGCTCATTTTAAGAATATATATCTATATATGTGTATGTGTGTGTGTGTGTGTGTGTGTGTGTGTGTGTGTGTGCGTGCGTGCGTGCGTGCGTGCGCGCGCGCGCGTGTCTAAGGGGTAGGTGGGTGGGCGGTCAACATGGATGTCTCAGTTTGTCTTTGAAATATGCTATGCAGCGTTACTTCCCTTTTCCACGCCAGACACCTATGAAAGTGGGTTCGAATCCCGGTTCGCCCCTGATTATGTTTCTCAGTTTGTCAGCGCCAAACCTGTGCTCGTCAGTCACTTCGGACTTTCTCCCCACATCGAGCTGACACGCCGTGATTGAATTACTGTTCAACGGCGATAATCCCATCTGACATACTCACTTACTTTAAGATTGTCCTGTAATAACGATATAATCAAGTCGTCACCTGTAACCTATGTATGAATCTGTTTACAATGAAAAACATCGCTCTCCTCCTCCATCAATCTCACTCACTCAGTCTTTCATTGTTTCTTTCTCTCCCCTCTTACTCGCTGTCTCTCTCTGTCTGTCTCTGTATATATATATATATATTTCACTGTTTCTACCATTCTTTCACCCCCCTTCCACCATACCTACGACTTTACATGCATAGAAGTATATTTTATATATATAGTCTTTTATGTTTTGTAGGTGACGACGTAGCAGATCTAGACCCTGTGACGTTCTTGTCAATCAACGGCAAAGTAGATATCTATCTCAAGTCTACATTATCACTATAATAAAAAAATCCTATATTCAGTGTTTTCCAGAAATCCTCGCTGTTTCTGAAAGAGTGGAAACTAAAAGCTTCTCTCATCATGGTATCTTACAAGATATCAATTGAATTAATGGACTTGTCAATTGTAGGAACTGCCAAACACTACATGTACATTTAGTTTTGTAATGATATTCCTGAATATTTTGAGATATGAATAAATACACTTTTTTACTGACGATGAGACTACTTGTTCACTGTTTTGTACACATTGCTGAGAAACACAGGCGTTTTTAGAACTGCCGTATTGATTTGTATGGCCCATGCCTTGCAGTTAGTTCCTGGGTGTGTGAATCAAGTTTGCCCTTACATTATTTTCAATGCATTCAGAAACCCAAACTGTATCTGAAATACTTGGCAGAAACGAACATCATCGCACATTCATCTAACGTCTAAAGTATAGACTTGTCATATTTGGGGGTCTAAATTGCCTTAATACATTAGCTTATGCTATACTGACGAAGTTAAATGGTGACACTGCCCACATCACCACCCTGCGCCATGTCACTCACTCACTCACTGTGACAGACACAATTTCACAAATGTAAGAAAGTAGAACGGCGATAAGGCCCAAATCACCTTTGTCATTCAAACGTTCATGTCAATAGGCATGGTCTTGCAGTGGATACCATAATTTAAATCATAAAACCTGGCACGTTTACAACATGTTGTAGTAGCTACATGTTACGAACGAGGGCTTCGAACAATATTGAAGTTCTGTCATGATGGTTTGTCAGTAAAATAACGTTAAACAGGTTCAAACAAATGTTACAGAATGGATACAATTTGGGCGTATGTGTGCATTTCTTGCTTATAAACAACGGATGACAGTGTAAGTGAGTGAGTTAAGATTTAAAGTCACATCGGCAATATTTCAGCCATATAGTGACTAATTCAAGTTATACAGTAATAATACATTTATACAGATATTAAAATCTGTCGACAAAGGACAGTAAAAGCACTAGACTATCACAGATATAGATTTAAAACTAGCATGTTACCATGAAAATGTGACTATTCTGAACAATACATTGTAAAAATGGGCTAGAGATCACCAGCAACCAAAGTTAGGACACCATACTAGGGACCATGGGGACTTACGGTTGTATGGTACGCCAGCAGGATTTACACCATCCCTCTGGCTACTGGTGATTGTTAGACATTTGAAGCCAAAGTATTTAAAAAACAACAAGCATTCTACGATTAAAATCCAGGAAAATGAAACATACTTTGAAGGAAGTGGGACTTACGCACCCTCTCAGGGGGACAATTTTTTTACGATACTTCAACCCCCTTTGAAGGTACAGCCACAAACAATCATAGTTATCGAATCATTCTACCAAATTAAAATCACATACTTTTTTCATTGCATATAATCAAAATGTATCTATTAACTCGATTTCTTTTAAAAATCCAAGAATTAAATGAGAACTTACATTAAAAAGATCCTTTATAGATGAAACCTGGAAATAATTATCCCTTGTGTTTGAAAAATCAATACAGTCAAGCAGGACATGCTTGACTGTGATTCTTTCATCACAAGGGACACAGAATGGAGGATCTTCACCTTGCAATAAACACTCATGTGTATAACGCGAATGGCAAATACGACATCGTCGCATAATGACCTCATCAAATCTGGACTGACAACCCAAGTAGGTGTAACCAATAGTTGGTTTTATTGCATGTAATTTGTTCATATCTACTCGGGTGTCCCACTTCTTCTGCATTAGGTCTTTGATATAGCATCTAATAACAGGTTTGTAGTCACTGTATAGTAGAAGAAGTAGTGTCACAGATTTGTTGAGAGCTGCCTTTGCTGCAGCATCAGCCATAGTGTTACCCGTGATTCCAACATGACTGGGCAACCAGCAAAAGACGATCTCGTATTGGCCAGTAGCAAGGTCATTATATAATTCTAAAATATCTAAAATGGATGGATGATGTGAAGAGCTAGATTTGATTGCCAATAGACACGATAATGAATCAGAAAAGATGATGAACCGTTTACAACTGGACTGTTTTTGGATATATTCCAAAGCAGCTAGTATTGCTTTGGCTTCAGCGGTGAAAATTGAGCTATGGTCTGGTAATCGGTATGATACGGTTCTGGATCCAATGACAGCAGCACTGGAGACTGTGCTACCGTCCTTGGATCCATCTGTAAAAATGGAATGGTGGGATTCATATTTAGTTCTAACTTGTAGATATTCTTGCTGATATATTAATTGATTTGTGTCTTTTAAAATGTGTGAGAGTAAAGTCTACTTCCGGTCTGACAAGTAGCCAAGGAGGAGAAGACAAAAGCCTGAACGGTGGAACATTATCAAGAGTAATGTTGGCAGCTGTAATGTGTTGTTTAATCCGAATGCCTAGTGATTGGACCAGCTGAGGCTTACTGTGAAAAAGTTGTTCGTAACGTGGTTGAAAAACACAGTTGTATGCGGGGTTTAATGGATTACGACGGATGACAGACTCATGACAATGATTTTGCTCAATCGCTATTTTTTGGCCTTCTTTTGTAAATAGTGTGGTTGTGTGTGCCTGAAGAGCGTAAAGCGTGATTAGTCCAGTGCCTAATGTATTATTGTCTTACTGTTCAACTGTTCTGCATATTTCGTAAGTGTTCCTCTTTACTTGTAAGCTTGCAGAAAGTGAGGTGTAATGGGGTTTAACGTCGCGTCCAAGTTTATTGCATTTATATAGTGACGTGCATGCATGTGTGTGTTTGTGGCTGCTTGTACTAGTCCGGACTAAACTGACCACGAGTCGACCAGTACTAGTCCGGACTATACTGACCCATAGTCGACAAGTCCTTGTTCTAGCTCCTTAATTCGAATGCCGGGCAGGGTAACAACAAGTATAATCTTTTATGGTATTTTGGTATGACGCGGTCGGGATCGAAATCCGGCTGGATGCTCTACCACCAGACAATAGAGGCGGTCTCCTCGGCAGTAGTTATTCCAAGTTTAGCATATCGTTTCTACTTTGAACAAAATCCAGAAGGCGCTATCGCTGGGTGTGGCATAGGGCAACAAGCGAACACATGCTTTATGTAAATTGTGTGAATTGCAGGTTTGCTGCCGGAAGGGCAGGACATACCTACCCTTCTCGCGAACACCTGGTGTCATCACTGACCTATTTTGCGTTTTACGCCGAATTGAATCTTTTCGGCATATGATCGAGACTGATTACTCTCTGGCGTTATATATACTGTAAGAATTAAGACGAGTACTTACTTTGGCTTGTTTTCGAGTTACCACTGACTCGACGATAATGGACCAGATCCCATAACATACATACATTTCCCTATTCCCAGTTAACGTAACTTAATACAGTCTGAACACTTATCTAGGAATGAATGTTCTCTTCTGAAACATACAACAGCTTCTGCAAAGATATGATTTGTATGTCAGACACAGTACAGTCAAAGTAATTTAAACAGCTCTCGATATATCTAAGTGTACTTTGAGACGATGGTTTATTCAAATTTTGTTGAAGACAGTATTGTCTGATATTTGGAGGACATTGAAATGTTTCATTTGAAAATTGTGAAACCTTGAAACAGCAGAGCTCGCAAATCTACTACATTAATAAGGATATGTGACAGACTACATACCATGAAGGGATATGCTTATAGCCTGTAATCAACAGTTGGTATATGTGACCACCATGAGATAAGGGACCTTATGGGTGAAAATTACTTCTCATTTTTTTGGAAAACTTCATTATCTTAGAAACACAAAAATTCAATTGGCAAGCTTCAATTCACATTATTGCAGAGATACAAGATCTCAAATACTTGGACTCATTTTCTTTAAAGTTCCATTTATCAGGCTTCATGAAAACACTGATCGAAAACAGCACAATTGTTTCCTACCACCCATCAGTTCCCTCTTCTGCCGGGTCACATATATACACATGGCCAAATGAAGTGGCCGGGAAGTCTCACATTGTTGCAATCTCCAGTCCAGACCTAAAATCTTGAAGTGGAGGAGCAGATTTGAGACGAAGTGAGTGGGGTGGGTTAACGCCGCTTTGAACTGTATCCCATTTATATCGGGGAGGGGGGGGGGGGGGGTCAGCTTAATGTGGGAGGAAAGCCTGAGGTGATGCATCTCTCAGACCTTTACCAATTTGGTTTGTTTGTTGTTTAACGCCCCACTCAGCAATATTCCAGCAATAAGACGGCGGTCTGTGAATAATCGAGCTTGGACCAGACAATCAGGTGATTGATATCATGGGATATCACGCGATTGGGATCAATGACATGCATCAATCATGTCAGCGAGCCTGACCACCCGATCCCGTTAGTCGCCTAAACAAGCATAGACGCCTTTTACGGCAAGCATGGGTTGCTGAAGACCTATTCTACCCCGGATCTTCACGGGTCTTACCACTTTGGTGAACCCCACGGGTAGTAAGAGGGAGACAGTTGCATAATGAAAGTCATTCGAGAATACTTCATAGATGTATGTTAATATGCTAATGTGACACTTACCTGGTGTTTTTATATGCTTAAATGTCATTTGAATCAAAGACAGATTCTCTATTATACTTGTAGGTGATACATGTATGTATAAAGCTTCATAGGGGATATAGTCGTAAAAGAATTATACGAAAACACAATCTTTTGGAATAGCCAGAATACATACCGCTTGAACGTCTTTAAACACGAACAAACAATGTTGACTCACGTTGAGACGAGTTCTGACTATGCTTATTCGAAAATGTTACAGACAAAATACAAAGGACAACAAAAGCATATCTTGTAAATCACTAGTCAAAACAGGCAAATTGTAGGAGCAGCCTCAACCACACACCTGCATGCACGTCGCTATATAAGTGCAATGTACGCGACGTTAAACCCCTATTTAACCTCACTTTCTGCTGCTTACAAGTAAAGAGGAACACTTGCGAAATATGCAGAACAGTGGGGGCAGTGTGAAATGTCTCGGCCAAAAACCTTTTGTTGAACAGTAAGACAATAATCCATAAGGCACTGGACTTTTCACTATTTACGCTCTTCAGGCACACACAACCACAGCATTTACAAAAGAAGGCAATGTCTCGGCCAAAAACCTTTTGTTGAACAGTAAGACAATAATCCATAAGGCATTGGACTTTTCACTAGTTACGCTCTTCAGGCACACACAACCACAGCATTTACAAAAGAAGG